CGACGGCGCCGTCGCGCTGGCCATGAAGGCCGCAGGGCAGACTTACCACGAGACGGTCCAGGCGCTCAAGTCCAAGAACGACGAGAAGGGCCTCGAAGAGTTGGGCCCAGCGTACGTGCACATCTTCATGGCCATGGTGCTGGGCATCAATCAGGAACCGTGCGAGCAGTGGACGAAGGACCTCATCCTGGCGTTCTGGATGGCACACATCAAGGGCAAGGGCGCGACGGAGGTGCAAGCAGCAGTACTGCACTGCAAGTGCAGGCCCACGAAGCCCAAGGAGAACAAGAAAGGCATGGTGAAGCTCTCGCTGGCACTCCCCGCCAAACACTCGGAGGTGCAGGATGCGCTGGTCTCGGAGCTCTGCCGCAGGCAGGGACAGATCAAGAGGGGGCCCGCGCCGCGCGGCCCTCTCGAGCGAGCGGCGCAGCAGCTACTGGACGAGTTCGAGGGCAACAAGAAGGGCAAGGCGAAGGGCAGCGGACAGTGAAGATGACAGCCAGCCAGGAGAACATCATAGGCCGCCATTCTCAGCGATTGCTCGACCTAGTCAGACGAAGGCTGGTACCTTTGGAGACAGCTCTTCGCCAGGCCACAGCATCGATGACGGTGGACCCTGTACGACGCCGAACCAAGCACTCTCAATGAGACCTCAAATTCCACATGGCTTCGGAGAGAGTGCGCCAGAGTTGAATTAGATATCGCGTGTCTCGGATGTTCATCTGAGATTGCCCACCCCCCTCGGCCCGTAATGCGGTCAAAGTCTGGACACTTGCTCTGAGCGGTGTAGCTGTACCTTGGGGGGTGGGCCATGCACGACAATTACTTTGACGACTTCGATTGCGACGCTACCGAGGGTGGCGGCTAGCACGAGGACTTGCTGTACTGAGACGCTTCGCGACGCCGACGCCCTGACTTGTACGCGGTCGCAGTTTTTGGTCATGTGCGAGTGTTCGCTCCCTTTCTTCCCCTCCTCGCTGGCGGGGTCAATGCCTGGGCGGCGCTAAGGCTTGTGCCACCTGGTGGTCGACCCTCGGGTCTTGCCCCTTTGGGGGCTCCACCTGGTGATGCAGGCCGAGGCGGCGTCCCAGCGGATTGACCGCGCCTTCCCAACGGGGGGCGCGGTGCGAGTGGGGACTGCCCGGCGTTGCGCCGTTAGTGACCCTCGCACCGTTGCTCCCCGGGGGGAAAGAAAAGCCTGCCTGCTGAAATCGCCGTTTCCCCTGAGTGGAGTCACTAATTCAGCGGATTCTTGTTGCCTGTGTGGTGCAGGGCAGCCCCTAAGTCCCCCACCACAGGGCGCCGCAGACTGCCCGAGGGTATCCCCCCCGCACATGCAGCTCATCCCTAAACAGTAGGCTCTCAGGGTAAGGTTAGAAAGCCAGCCACTTTATATGATCTTCTAAGGGTGCTGGTCAGAGTGACCAACACACTCGTTTTTTGATGCGCTGACTTGTGGAACACTGCCCCTCAGAGATTGATTGATTGATTGATATATATATATATATATATATATATATATATATATAAATGCTCGCCCCCCAACCACACTCTACTTCAATGCTGAAACATGTTCGACTGCCTCGCCCGATGCGGACAGCCCCCCTCAGGAGCACACCCCTTGCTGATCGCTGCGACGCCGCAGCTGGCGTCGCGAAGGGCGGCGACGGAGGGCGATCGCGCTACTGTTTTCGAAGCTTCCGAAACCGATCGCACTCCCCCTTGGCGCTGATATGGCATCGCCAAAACCTGCGTCGGCGCAGGCAAATGGCTCGCAACAGCGGCCCCCCTACAGTTAACAGCACAGACGCCAGCGCCCCGCGATGGCGCCAGCAGTCTGGATCGCCGCCCGCCCGCGGGCGGAACCGATGCTATCCCGAATGTCGCGCTCATTTGTTCAGGTGCCCCAGCATATCCGCGCGGGTTTCCCCCGCGTGCGTTTTTTCTGTTTGATAAGGGAACCCAAGGCTTCGCGGAATAGGACAAACGCGTTGAAGCCACCGTGATGTGCTCCAATCAAGAATTGCTCATGCATGTGCCCTGTGCTTGCGCGTGCGTGCGTGTGCGTGTCCGTGCGTGTGTGCGTGCGCGCGTGTGTATGTGTGCGTGTGTGTGTGTGTGTGTGTATGTGTGTGTGTGCGTGTGCGTGTGCGTGTGTGTGTGCGTGTGCGTGTGTGTGTGTGTGTGTGTGTGTGTGCGTGCGTGCGCGTGCGTGCGTGATTGCGTGCGTGCGTGTGCGTGTGTGTGTGTGTACGTGCGTGTGTGTGTGTGTGTGTCCGCGCGCACGGGCGTGGGGCGGGCTGCGACCTCGGTCGCTTTGCCGAAAGAAACCCGGGTCTCGCGACAGACGGACATCACCATTGAGTTCGCAGGGTGTTTTTTTGTTCAGAAATTATGTATGACACATATACGGTTGCATCGTTTCTGGGCTTTGGGCGGTGCACGTGCGCGGGCGGGCTGCGCACCCGGTCGTTTTGCCGAAAGAAATCAATGTCCCGCGACAGGGGGGCATCATGATTGAGCTCACGCGTTCTTTTTTCTCCATCGACTACGCATGGCACAAGCCATTCGGCCAGGTTGTTTTTTCGTTTTGTGCGCAGTGTCCGTGCCGCGTTGCTGCGGGGTGTCCTTCTGGCTGCTGAAAGAGAAAGTGCGCGCGCGCGAATGCGCGCGCGCGTGCGTTTGTGCGCGTGCGCTGATGGTGGAACCCTGGCGGCCTAGACGGACGGGCGTGCCCCCCCTGTCTCGCTTGGCCGCAAGAATCCAAGGTCTCGCGGGCGGGGGGGGGGGCGCATCGGACCCAGCGCAACGATGAGGGAGGGGCGGGAGACAAGCAAGGAGGAATTGAATATTGTGGATCAGGAGAAATGAACAATATTCTAGTACCCGTTGAGCATTGCGCTCGAAGCAGGCGCTGCGCCTCAATGTGCGCATTAGGCATTACGCCCACGTGGAGAGCGTTGCGCCCAAAGAGAATCAGCGCCACGCTGAAGAAAGCAAGCGTTGCGCCTTAATCGCACCCCTGCGAATTACGCCCATGCGAAGAGCCTTACGCCCAGCGCTTGAGAGTATTACACTCTTCCTCCTAGAGCATTGCGCTCTTCTTCCCTGCAGCTAAGTGCCAGAGCATTCCGCCCTTTTGTGCCTTCCCCCCTATCATCCTCATACCACATAGGCATTGCGCCTTTGACTACACCCTGGGTGTCGCACCCATGTTAAGAGAATGGCGCCCAGAGTTATCATTCTGAGGTTGCCTTCCCTCCTCCGCAGCTGGCATGAGCCCGTTCGAAGATGGCCTGCCTGTGGGCGCTGGCGGGGGGGATCCTGTTTCTGCTCCTCGTCCTCCCCCTCCTCCTCCTCCTCCTCCTCCTCCTCCTCCTCCTCCTCCTCCTTCTTCCCTCGTTGAGCATCCCGTCGCGGCCTCCTCTTGATCCTCCTCCTCCTCCTCTTCCTCTTCCCCCTCGCCCTCCTCTTCTCCCTTCACCCCTCCCGCTGAGTCCCCCGTCGCGGACTCCTCATGATCCTCCTCCTTCCTCCGCCCCCTCCTCTTCTTCTTCAGCCTCCTCCTCCTCCTCCCCCCCTCCTCCTCCTCCTCCTCCGCCTCCTCCTCCTCCGCGTCCGCATCCGCAGCCGCATCCTCCTCTGCATCATCATTTTCTTCCTCCTCCTCCTCCTCCTCATCGTCCTCCTCCTCCCCCTCCACTTGCATTTCCCCTCGTGGATTGCAGCTCCATTGCCATCAACGCCGGCTCCCGTGTGAGAGGTTGCCAAACTACTCGCTGTGAGGAGCCCTCCACCTGAGAGGCCCCCAAAAAACAGGAGGAGGCTCCCGCCTGAGGGGTCCCCCTCCCAAAACCCACAGAAGACGAGGCTTTCGCCTGAAAGGCCCCCCCTCAAAAAAACAAATAAAAGGAAACTCGCGCATGAGAGGTCCCAACAAAACAAACAAGGTGAGGCCCCCGCCTGAAAGGTCAAACACAACCAAACAGAAAGAAACCCCCACCTGAAAGGTCAACAAACATCCAAACAAATGGAGGATCCCGCCTGAGAGGTCCCCCAAACCCAAAAGAAACCCAAACACCACGCCTCTCATCCCTGCAATTGTACAAAAAACAAAACCCCAAAGTTCAAGGAGAGATCCGACGCCGCTGCCCCAGATGCATTGACGAGGGCAGCCATCTCCTCTTGAACCTTTTTTCGCTATATATATATATATATATATATATATATATATGTGTAGATGTAATTATATATATGTATGTATGTATATATATACATATATACATACATACAGGGATGAGAAGCATGGTGTTTGTTCCTTTTTTTCAGGGAGCTTTCAGGCGGGAACCTCCATCGGTTTGGGTGTTTTAGGACGTCTCAGGCGAGAACCCCCTTCTTATTTTTTTGGGGGGACCTCTTCCGCGGAGGCCTCATCTTGTTTGGTTGTTTGGGGGGCCTCTCAGGTGGGAGCCTTTTCCTGTTTGACAGTTTTTTGGGGGCCTCTCAGGCGGGAGCCTCCTCCTCCTTTCTCCGTTTTCTTCCTCTGATGAAATCGTTCTCCTCATTCCAATGTTATGTTACTTTGTTATGTTGTTGTTTCTCCGCCTCCTCCTCTCCTCCTCTTCCTACACGACGAGGCGAAGAAGAAAAGGCAGAATGAGGTTGACCCCTGCAGAAGAACGATGAGGTAGATCTTGGCGGGGGGGCGTCTCCATATATATGTATATAATGATAATAATAATAATGATAACAATAATAATAAAAAAAAACCATAATAATAGTAATAAAAATAGTAGTAGTAATAATAATACTAATAATAACAATAATAATAATACTAATACTAAGAAGAAGAAGAATAATAATGATACTAATACTAATAATCATAATAATAATAATGATAATAATAAAAATAGTAATAATAATAATAATAATAATAATAAGAATAATAATAACAATACTAATAATAATCATAATGATTGCCGCTCTCTGTTGCTCTGAAGGAGGGCGGCGACCTCTCGTCCATCAGGAATACGCACAGCGGCTCCGGCACCTCGAAGCTGCTGCCGACGGGCAGCGGCTCCAGCCAGTGTCTCGCGGTGGTGCCGTCGGGCGGCGTGGCCATCCTGGACGCCGCGGAGCGCAGCGCCGCGGGCAGGACGCCGCGCACCGGGAAGAAGCCCGCCGCGCAGCGCGACCTGGAGGACGATTCAGACAGGAAGTGTTGCGCCAGGTGCGGGCCGCCGGCGGCGTCCTCCTGCTCACTCATGTGAATTCGCGTGGCGTGAAGTGGATTGGATGATCGGGGTCCCCGCCCCGCACCGGAGGCCTTGTGCACGAGCTCGGAGGAGGAAGCGATACCGATACCACTGCTTGTGTCCTGGAGAGCCCTCGTCGCCACGGCCAGAGTTTCATCGAGGTTTTGGCAAGAATGCACCCCAGGAGAGGTCTGGGGAGGGGCGGTCTCAGTATTTTTTTGTCTCCGCACGAGTGGGCCCGGAGGGGGGGGGACGCCGAGCTGCAGTTAGGCGGGGCAGCCCAGCGGGCTCCACGCGCTGCGCTGGGCCACGTGCTCAACAGGCGGCGCGAACCATTCGCGGCGGGCCACACGAGCCTGCTTCTAGGTCCCCTGTCGGGGCGCGTGACCGCCGATCTCCCTGCCTGCACACGCGTGCACAGACCTCCGTCACAGAGAAGGGGAAACCACCACGCGCGTCGTTTCCTACATTTCGGAGTTCTTCGCCAAACGTTGCCTGCACTTAGGACCGAGACGGCCCTGGCCCCCTGCAGGGTGTCGTCACATAGTAATACTCGCATACACGCAGCACGCTTGTCTTACTATGATCAACTGTTTTTTGGGTGACTTCCCTCTTAGACTCGCTAGAGTTCGTTCTCATTGAGTGCAATCATCCGCTGTGTTTCCCAAATCATGTGCACCATTCGTTAAAAATGATTTGGATATGTGGTATCTGCTAGTTCATCACGAATAGGGGGGAGCCAGAAGCGCACCCAGGTTATGCCAAGAGGTCAATTTAGGTGAATATGCATATTTTGCGTAGGGGGCCCTTGAGATAGGTGACTGGGCCCTGTGTGTATTTTGCGTGGGCCCATCGTGTGCCAACCTGCGTAGGGCTCATGAGGGACAACATTGGCCCCTGCGCGTTGCTTTTGAGGGATAAGGGTAGGCCCTGCCCGCGCCATCAGCAATGCCTTGATCGGTCAAGGCAGCTTCTGCCAGTTCTTGGCATGCACTCCCGCAGCCCATTTCAGGATGCGCTGCTTTCCAATCCCGCGTGTTTCGCGTTGCTGTCCATTTCTACCATAGTTTCCGTACGTGTTGGTGTTCGCGTGCTGCATCACAATGGCCCAGCGATTCAATTGATGTTGGCTGCTGCTCCCGACCTAGGCGCCCACCATGAACGCGTTGCTGATCTTCATGTTTGTATGTGTGATGTGTTGGCCCCCGTCCTTCCTGCAGGAAACAAAGCCAAGATGGTTGTTCAACGTTCATGAGCGAAGCATGCCTTCGACCCTGCTTGGGTCAGTCATGAAAAGGGACCCCGTTCCCTTCGTTCTGAGACCGATTCGCAAACATATTGGTACACTAAGCGCATGTTCCTCGACGCTGTCATCTCTGGAATATGATGACAATAGCAAGCGAGGTCGCAAACATCGGAGTCAATCGACAATACAGTACTCATTGTCAAACGAACGACGGCTGAACCTGCTACTCTTGGTTCCCATCCAGCACATGGAGAAATCGTTGGTCCAGTGCGCGTCTGTCACGCCAGTGTATTACGCCGAGGCTGAGTTTTACAACGAAGGACCCTCGCCGCTGAAGTTCAGCGAGTGTGGTTTCGACCCGGAGCCCCATGTGCTGAAATATTGTATGGAAAAGCCCCAGCCCAAGTACATGAACAGCTGAGTGATCGTTCCCTCCAGTATTCTGGGGTTTCTTGCGTTTTTTTCGGGTGGAAGCAGCTGTGGCCAACGTGCGTCAAGTTGATTATCGGCTTGCTTGCGTGGTCAAAATTCAATGTTGAAATGCCTAAGATGCGTGTTCTTGCACGCGAGTGCCTTCGATCTTTCGTTCGAAATAATTCGTAATACTGGAGCGTGCTTCTTTATGGCTTGGGCCATCACGCGCGTTATGGCCCCCTGCACCCCCCCCCACCCCCCCACCCCGCATAACGTAACGTAGCGCTCTGGCCCCCAGTGCCCCCCCGGCACTGCCGCCGAGCGCATAGGGGTCCTCGCAGGAACCCGAATATGAATCGTCGTAGGCATCGGCACAGAAATCCGCATAGGAATCCGCATGGGGATCGTGTTGAGATATCCATCGGGGTCCGCATCGAGATCCGCATTGGGATTCTAGCGATCCTTACAGAGGTCCGCATAGGGATTTGCATAGGGATCCGCATAGGGATCCCCAGAGGGATCCCCAGAGGCATCCGCATAGGGATTTGCTTCGGGATCCGCATGGAGATCCGCCTGGGGGTCCGCATAGGCATCCGCATAAGGATCCGCATAAGGATCCGCATGGGCATCCGCGTGGGGATCCGCATGGGAATGCGCATAGGGATCCCCAGAGGGGTCCTCGTAGGGATCCGCATAGAGATCCGCGTAAGGGGCGGTGGTCGCGGACAAAATGTTGTGATCTCAGGCACGTGTGGTGTTCGTAGAGAGAGAGAGAGAGAGAGAGAGAGAGAGAGACACAAAAGAGAGAGAGAGAGAGAGAGAGAGAGCAATAGGAGGAGAAAGACGACGACGACGAGGATGGAGGAGGAAGGTAGGGGGCATACCCCTTACACGCCACGTGGAGGCAAGGACCCCTTCGCAGGCATGTGCTCGACACAACTCCTCGTCGCTCTTCGTTGTCGGTCGTCGTCGTCGTCGTCGTTGTTGTCGTCGTCGTCGCTCGTCGTCGTCGTCGTTGTCGTTCCTCGTTGTCGATCGTCGTCGCCGTCGTCGTCGTCGTCGTCGTTGTCGTCTTCGTCGTCGTCGTTGTTGTCTTTGTCGTCGTCGTCGTCATCCTCGTCGTCGTCGTTGTTGTCGTCGGTGGTCATCGCTCGTGGTCGCTCGTCGTTGGCAAACGCCTTCGAATGCTTTCGAGGGCCTCCGGAGGTGTTCGGATGACCTTCACAAGGTCTCTGGAAGCTTCCAGAGGCTTCAGGAGGCCTCCGAGGGCTTCGGGAAACCTCCGGAGACCTCCGGAGGCGTTGCTCGTCGGTCGTCGACGTCTTCGTCGTCGTCGCTCGTCGTCGTCGTCGTCGACGTGTCGTCGTCGTCGGCGTCGGCGTCGGCGTCGGCGTCGGCGTCGTCGTGGTCGCTCGTCGTGGTCGCTCGTCGTCGTCGTCGTCGTCGTCGCAGTCGTTCGTCGTCGTCGCTCGTCGTCGTCGTCGTCGCTTGCCGTTGTCGGTCGTCGCAGTCGTCGTCGTCGTCGTCGTCGTCGTCGTCGTCGTTGTCGTCGTCGTCGTCGTCGTGCGCGCGGACGTTGTGGTGGCGCCGGAACCGCACGGCGGGGAGGGCGTTGCGTGATGCCCCCGCCCCGGCCCCCCCCATAACGCCCGTTGTAGCCGCGAATCAAGAAACGCGCTCCTGGCGAGGCCACCCGCGAGACGCGCAGGATGGTGGCATCGGGGAGAAGTATCGGTTCTACTGGCATTCTTACGTCTCTTCGGCGAAGTGTATAATTCTGGGCAGTCCCTCGAGAAGTTTTCACGGGCAGAATCATCTTCAAGCGTGGCGACCGGCCGTCAAGTGACTGTGGCGAACAGGCGTTTCGCGCTGCGTCCCCCGAGCTCGCGCGGCGCAGTCGCGATGTCAAAAGCAGTGGCGTCGAACGGGTTTCCGAACGGCGGCTGGCGCAATCGAGACAAAGTGGAAGTATACTTGGGCCAACTGCTTGTCGTGGATGGTGTTGCTACGTTCCCCGTCAAACAGCAGCGTGCGAAGGCCTGCCGTTCGCGTTCGCATCGTCTGCGTTCGCGTCGCGTGGACGGGTGTAGACGATTGCAAGGACCGGCTCTTCGCGTTGGAGTTCCGCCATGGACTGATGTCGTCAACGCGCCCAGCATGGGCGCGACGCATAGGCGCCAAGACTTCGAACGCAGCGCCAACTGCGGCCCACGGCGGTGCAGGACCCCGTCAGCCATTGCCTGCGATGTTTTTTGCCAGGCTGCGCAGATGGCGCGGCAAAGCTACATGACATCCAGGGTCGACAGACAGGGTTGACGGCGGCCCAGCAGGCATCCCACAACTTCGGTGCACACCAAGCCTAAGAGATCAGGAGGCAAGATGCTGGACTGAACGCGTTCGCAGAAAATCACCCACCAATGTGCGATGATGTGGGGCGCGCCGCTCTTGATGCAGCCGCCGCCGGGGATGTCGCCGTTTCCCTGGCCGGATGCGTTCCGATTTCGGGTTCGCCCCCGGCGTCGTCTTGATGGCTGCGAACGCGACCTGCGCATCGCAGACGGGTCGGAGTCTTTTTGGCACGTCAGACGCGGCAGCGTTCGCGGCGATTTAACACCGACGCCGCAACAGCGTTCGCCGCGAGGGCTCCGAGAAGATGTCCGACCTAACGTGGCGGCGCTGGAAATTTAGGCGACGCGCATGTCCCTCCTCTAATAGGAAAAGTTGTTCCGCATTCGCAATGACGCGCTGCGCGCGATGAGCGCAGGGTTGACGTGGATCGGCGCAGTTCCTCTTGCCGCTGAGCGGCGGCGCTCCCATTGCATTTGGAGCGCTCTGCCGCCGGAGCTGGAAGAAGAAGGATTCGGGCGAGCTTGGCTGCAGGCGACAACGCGCTGAACCCCCAGGCGGGCCCCTTGCGCATCCAGCCGCAATGGCCCGTGCCAGAATACTTTTCCACTGAGCATTCGAGATGATGGTGTTTGGGGTCTCCAGGCTGACGGGGCCCCGAGACCGCGATGCGTTTCCCGGGGCTAAGCCGCAAGTGCCCAACGCGGCCTCAGCTGGCCCCGAGAGTTGGCCGCGAGGGCCCAGGAGCGACCCAGGGGCCAACAGGAGGCACCCACGAGCGCCCCGACAGGGCTCTTGGGCCCGATCTCTGGCCCCATGGATCGACGGGGGACGGCCCTGTGGATCGACAGGGGGGCGCGCCCCAGGCGTTCCCCCCCCCCCGACCGAAGGTGGCAGAGATCGCGCCGCGAGGGGCCCAATTATCCACCCAAGCGGGCCCCAAGACGGCCCCGATATGCAGGGGTCCGAGTTGGCCCAGAGAGGGCCCATGTTACATAATGGCACAATGGGGTCCCGCCGGTTTCTTGCATTGCAGCCGCAGATTGGCCCCCATTGATGAACGACCCTGACATGGCTCATGCTCGTTGGCCCTCGCCCGTCGGCCCGTAGCGTCTGCCTTTTATTCAAAAGCTGCCGCCTCTGCCGCCGACCCCAAAGTTGGCTCATCAGGATTTCTGGCAGTCGACGACGACGACCTGTGCGAGCGGCTCTCACGTCGAGGTTTGAAGTTCGAGCCTCGAGGATGGAGGTTCGAGGGCTCGCCGTGGGTCCCAGGAGGGCATTTTGGGCGTCCTGCAGTGATCCTGTGGCCTCTGCGACTTCTCTCGTACGATGGCGAGGCCTGTGGGGGGCCTCTTGACTTTGTTTGGGGGCCTTGTGGAGGGCTGCTTGGGCGGCCCGCCGGATGGGAACCATCCCTGACCGATGATTCCCAGGGGGCGCCCCGCGCGCGAGCAGAACATGCGCCGAGCACATGCCAGAGATTTCAACGCGCATCGGGCCCGCTGGGCAGGCGGATTTGTCTGAAGTTTCGAGCTCTGGAGGCCGTCTCTGGGATTCTACCCGTTGAAAAAGTTCGGCTTTCTCATCGTGAGGACCCCGAAGGATGCTTAGTCATGGGTGTCCGGCTGATTCATCATCTCTCGGGGGAGGGCGCTGTCGCCCTCGTTCTCGTTGCTTACCCGGAGTTCCCCCGGGGCCGAAGCCCACTAGTAGTTTTCCCAGCTGCGCCCGAGGGGGGCCCTTGGGGGCCAGGAAGCCCCGATCCTCGAGGTTCGACCCTCCGCCCAGGTCCGCGGACGGAGGAAGTTCGTCAGATCACCTGTCGCCCAGAGGGCTGGTGGGGCTGCGCCCCCAACATTTGCAAAGTCTCGACGCTTCGCGCATCCCCTCCAGCTCATCCAGAAAGCACGCCCAGGCGAGTTGAGGTGATCAGAGAAGTGCGGATGCATGCAGAGAAACCAAGAGCGGGAGAAACCGTCGCACCCCCAGAGCCCCAGAGGGGGAGGGGGGAGGAGGAATCGGAGGAGGGGGCTGGAGGAGGAGGGGGAGCAGGAGGAGGAGGTGGATGTGGAGGGCGAGGGGGGGGGGGACGGAGGAGGAAGATAACCTGGAAAAGTACGAAGAGGAGGAGGAGGAGGAGAAGGAGGAGGAGGGGGAGGAGGAGCAGGAGGAAGAAGAGGGAAAGGGCGAGGAGGGGCAGGGGGAACTAGGGGCCTCTCGGGGGCCTCTTGGAGCCCCCTTGGGGCCTCCTGGGGGCCTCTTGGGGTCATCTTGGGGGCCTCTCGGGGCCTCCTGGGCGCGTTTTGATGCCATCTTGGAGGGCGTCGCTGAAAGAGGGGTGGGGGTGGGTGGGTGGGGGGGGGGGGGGGTACTTCGCGTCGCCTTTCTAGAGCCTCCACAATCGCCTCTTGGACCCCTCCTGGAGCGCTCCTGGTTGTGGGGTGGTCGGGGGCCCCAAGAACAGAGGCTCCATGGGTTGGGGGTGCCGAGGCGTGGTGGGAGCGCGGTGGAAGCGTGGTGGAAGCGTGGTGGAAGCGCGGTGGGGGGCATGGTGGAGGGCGTCGGTCGGTTTTGGGCGAGAAATTGCAGGGTGGGGGGTCCCAAGAACAGAGGCTCCATGGGTTGGGGGTGCCGGGGCGTGGTGGGAGCGTGGTGGAAGCGTGGTGGAAGCGCGGTGGGGGGCATGGTGGGGGGCGTCGGTCGGTTTTGGGCGAGAAATTGCGGGGTGGGGGGGTCCCAAGAAGAGAGGCCGGGGCGTGGTGGGAGCGTGGTGGAAGCGTGGTGGAAG